TAACGGACTTCTGCTGGGGTTGGATTTACTAAAGGAAGAGGATACGAAATAGCTGGTGATTTGTGGGAATTCAAATTTGGTGATGAGACAGGTGCGAGGTGAGATTGATTGCAAGGCCCCGACCCTAACGCTGTTTCGGCAGAAGGTGATGGTCCACCTGCGTGGTTGGATGAATCACGAGTTGGGACATGTCAAGCGAGATTAAAATACCAGTGCAGATAGCTTGCCCAGTGCCGCTTTACGGAATCAATGTGGTGTCGAGGTGGAGAGAGAGACCGAGCATCAGGATCTCGTCACGTTAAACCGACTAGACGAAGTGGTGGTGGTTGGATCCGTAAAAAGGACAGTCCCAGGTAATGGCTGTCACTAGATCCAGAGGAAGGATTGGATCCAGCCCCCAGATTCTCGATGAAGCATTTGTGAAGGGAGTCCGCATTGAGCGGATCCTCAAAGCACAGAACGAAGAAGCGTGGATCTTGGGACTAAAGAAATATCTGATGGGGGATGTGAGAGACCTGAGACGGGAGGATACCAAATCCTACAGTATCATCGCTACGGATTATGCAGTGGATTTGAATGACTTGCTCTTTTATTGTCCCCCTACGAAGAGAGTCAACGAGGATCGGGATGGATTGATGAGACTGGTGATGCCAGAAACCTTGCAACAGGATGTCCTACACCACTACCATGCTAGCCTGGAAGGCGGACATCAGGGTATTGGTCGGACCTACCAACGGATCCGGGAATGTTTCCACTGGAGAGGACTATTCAAGAGCGTACAACGATATGTCGGTGAATGCGTGGATTGTGAGACAGGCAAGGGCAGGCCCACAATCGAAGGGGAGTCACCTGGGAATGTCCAAGCGACTTACCCGCTCCAAATCATAGCCATGGATCATATCCCCTCGTTGCCCAAGTCGTTCAAAGGAAACACAGAATTGTTGATTTGGGTGGATTTGTTTACCGGATACGTGATAGCCAAAGCTAGTGCGTCTAGAACTGCGCAAACCATTGCTGAATCGTACGAGGAGTGCGTTTTCCAAAGATTTGGAGCTAGCGAGATGATTAGACATGATCGGGAGCCAGGCTTTATGTCTGATTTCTTTCGAGCATTCAACCGGATCCTGGGGCAGCGACAGCGAGCAACCATAGCATATCGTCCCCAAGCTAACGGATCGGCCGAGCGCATGGTGCAGACAATCACGAGAGCACTCAAGATGTATGTCCAGGATTTGGATCAGCGGGATTGGGATGAGTACGCAGAACGACTCCCCTTCGCGATGAACACCGCCCAAGACAGGATCGGAGGTGATACCCCATTTTACTTGGTACATGGGTGGGATCGCAAATCCACCCTGGAAGCGGCCATCCCAGTATGCAGCACCAAGAAGAGAAACCGAGATCCAAGGCGACGGCGATACCAAGTCCAGAAATACTACCGGCAAGCTAGATCCCAGGTGAGCGAACGACTGCGGAGTGCGATACAGGATCGAGCGGATCGACACAACGAAAAAGCCCGTCCACATCAAATCCAAGTGGGATCGCAGGTGTGGCTTTATTTGGATCGAGTGAAAGAAGGGTACGCTCGCAAATTGGCCCATCTATGGCATGGACCGTTCCGGGTGAGAGAGAAGATTGGAGAACATGCGGTGAGGCTGGAAACGGCAGGTACCGAATATCGCCTGTTCCCTGTAGTACACGTATCCAAGCTGAAGTTGGTCAAAGAATATCCAGATCGGCCGCAAATCCGTCTTTCGGTAGACGCATCCGACCGCGTCGACTTCGACGAGGTTCTCCTACCGGAAGACAGTTGGAATGTGGATCTCGAAGCCAACGAGTTCGAATTCGAGAAGATCACCGATATGAGATCGGGGAAGCGAACTAGATACGGACGGATTTACCGTGAATTTCTGGTGCATTGGCGTGGATATGACGAACCTAGTTGGGTAGACGAGGCGGATCTGAACTGTGGAGCATTACTCTATGATTTCTTGAGGGACCGTATGAATCGTAACAGATTCGGCGTGATGCAGTCTCACGAAGAAGAGTAGGGAGGGGATCCATGGATGTGAGTTGGTCATATCGATGGGAGAATGAAGAAGAACCCACAGGAAGGGTGTGGGTCAGGAGGGGGAGGATCGCTGATGTGAGTTGGTCACATCGGAAAGAAAGAGAAGACGAGTCCACAGGGTGGATTAGGAAGAAGGAGTGAATGCAACTGCGAATATTCGACCACCATGATGTAAAGACAATGCATGAGTAAGCCCTACCTCCTCGGCGGCCATTTCCCGCAGCATACCAACTGACCTTGATTTCTCACCGCTACACAGGGCACCATCAAGCACACTCAGCACACACGCCGAGCGCAGCCAAAAAAGCAGCTGCCACTGCACACGCACGCCTCACTCGCCATGAACTATACCACGGATATAGACACTGTGAAACGATTCGGTTCCCTTTCAGCAGATTCGGTACTCTTTAACTCTCTTTTTCAAAGTTTCTTTCCATCTTCCCTCACGGGTACTTGGTCGCTATCTGTCCCGCACCTATTATTTAGCTTTAGAATGGAATTTACCACCTACTTTGCGCTTGCTTTCCCAAACTACGCGACTCAATATAAATGGATCGTACGCATGAAGCATCTCTGGATGAACGG